TAGGGACTCTCCAAAGTTGAGCGTCTTTGCTATCATATGCAGAAGGAAGCTTTATGGGCCATTTTTCTTTGTAGAAAGAATTTGGATGGCACACTCGTATCTAGACATGTCCCAAATTTGTTTGATGCCATAACTTGAAGAGGACTCGCGAGATTTCATTTTCCAAAAGGCTGGAGCTCCAGCTGACTTCTACAATGACGCGAGAAGGTATCTGCATGTGCATTTCCCACAGCGCTCGATAGGTGGCACTGGTCCTTATGATGAAGCATTTTTGATATGGCCCCTGAGGTCTCCATACAAGACACAGTGCGCCTTATTTTTATGGGGCATTGTCAAAAACAGAGTATATGTCCCACCATTGCCTCGAGTTCTGATGGAACTGCGAGAGTGGATCACAGAAGCCTTTGCTGCCGCCACAAGAGACATGCTGATTCGAGTATGGGAGGAAATACACTATACACTAGATATATGCCGTGTCACGAAGGGTATCCATATTGAATCTTTGTAATGTAGGAACACACGTTGATATAGTACCTTACTTTAGGTATAGACAAGATTTACCAGGGGGAAAGGGAGGGTGGGGAGAGTATTTTTTGTTTGTTTGTTTGAAAAAGTACATTCTTTTTAGGACACCCTATATTGTGTCTTGTGCAGGCATGAGCTCAGTCCATGGCGATGCGAGTGTGACCAACAAGACCCGCCAGTGTTTAGAAAAGCCCTTTACAATTATATAATGGGATTTCAGGTCCGTTATTGTGATTATTTGAACTTAGCGTGTTTCTTCTCAGACGACCAGATCTAACTCTTTTCTTTCTGCAATCAGTTCCTCCTTCATTATCATTCCCTTCCTGATTTGTCCCTTCCATGCAACATATTCAGACTTCCCATGCTAGTCGTGCTCGTGAGTAAAACCTGGCACGGTCGGTCCAAGACCGTTTGACAAGGCAGCAGGCAGTCGGCAGCAGGTGAGACCGGGTTATCTTCTCTACATTCTAGATAGCTTCTGCACTATTTGACATTATAACACAAGTCCTCGTTCTCACTGTCATATGAAACAGCGTTGTAATATTTAATTAAGTGAATCAGATAATTTAATTTTAAACCAACACGAGCCTGTTATCTTTGCCCATGGAATCATAAACACTAAACTTAGTAAACAGGGGGGAAAAAATGGCTGGATATCGGGAATAAAGCAAAACCAATGACTAATACTAATGTAATAATGTATTGTAAAAGTAAAATTGTTTGATAACTGATTTAGATGTTTTAATTTAATTAATTTCATTCCCATTTGCAACAGTTGTCACTATATTTTAATTCAATTATTAATCCATTGCGATGTCTCATCACATCTGGCAAATAATGATGGTACATCTCACTACATGAGCGTGTGAGATGTTTTGGAAAATAGTTTCTCATTGCATCCTGAATATTTTACTGTGCACATAGCCCAGGCAGGACGGTTGAATTGAGTGTATTCGCCTCAGTTACTCAGGAGCCACAATTTGAAAATGTGGATAGTCCCGGACCTGAGGCCAAGGCATAGAAAGATCATAAATACAATATACAATACAATGGGGCCATGATTTGCGGACAATTTGCTAGGCCTCCAGGGGCTGCTACTTGAATAGCCCTGACATTACAGGTGTATCATTTCATAATTACCTGCCTGAAGGCATACCCGCTAAGAATGCATATTTGTTGGTGGGCGGTGGGTTTTCAGATTTAGCCTGGGCAGATGTTCCATACAGCCTACTCTCTTTCGAACTGCTGATTGATTTCTAGCGCACACATGGATCCTCCCAATTTTTGCCCTTACTGAGGAAACTGTTTGATACAGTATTCCATGAGCAGCCTTCTTTTAATTGTAAGTCTCTGTGTGGGTTCTGGGGCCTTTTTGTAGGTAAAACAAGAATAGATCCACTGCCTCCCCTAAAGTATGTTGTAAGAGTCAACTAATCACTAATCGGGAGCTTCCTTTGAAGTCAGAGTGCAAGACAGGCAAAGAACCAACAATTGAGTGATATCTGTAAAACAGATGCACACACAACACTCAGGTTCTGGGGGGAAAAAAAGACTTAAAGTCCAGAAGTGGACGAACAACCAGAACTTTTCGCCGGAATTTACAGCCGGTGAACGTGAGATGAAGAATTGTAAAAATGTACACAGAGAATTGAACAAGGCCTGAAAGAGCTAGTGACCAAGATAGTAAATTCTGAACTACTTGAACTTGGCCTGTATATTGACTTCACTATATCAATAGTCTAGTAGTATTTATAAGTGATAGAAATAAACATATAATTTACAAGGTGACATTTTCAAATGTTTCGTTGTGAATTAGTTGTAATATTCAGCAGTTGTAAGGAGATATTTGACATCTATACATACGTCTAATGTTGCAGTTGTATGTTGCTTGTAGTCAGTGAGTGAGACATATCTAATCTAATGTTGCAGGTGTACATTGCTTGTAGTCAGTGAGTGAGACATATCTAATCTAATGTTGCAGGTGTACGTTGCTTGTAGTCAGTGAGTGAGACATATCTAATCTAATATTGCAGGTGTACGTTGCTTGTAGTCAGTGAGTGAGACATATCTAATCTAATGTTGCAGGTGTACGTTGCTTGTAGTCAGTGAGTGAGACATATCTAATGTTGCAGGTGTACGTTGCTTGTAGTCAGTGAGTGAGACATATCTAATCTAATATTGCAGGTGTACGTTGCTTGTAGTCAGTGAGTGAGACATATCTAATCTAATGTTGCAGGTGTACGTTGCTTGTAGTCAGTGAGTGAGACATATCTAATGTTGCAGGTGTACATTGCTTGTAGTCAGTGAGTGAGACATATATAATGTTGCAGGTGTACGTTGCTTGTAGTCAGTGAGTGAGACATATCTAATGTTGCAGGTGTACGTTGCTTGTAGTCAGTGAGTGAGACATATCTAATCTAATATTGCAGGTGTACGTTGCTTGTAGTCAATGAGTGAGACATATCTAATCTAATGTTGCAGGTGTACGTTGCTTGTAGTCAGTGAGTGAGACATATCTAATCTAATGTTGCAGGTGTACGTTGCTTGTAGTCAGTGAGTGAGACATATCTAATGTTGCAGGTGTACGTTGCTTGTAGTCAGTGAGTGAAACATATCTATTATCTAATCTAATGTTGCAGGTGTACGTTGCTTGTAGTTAGTGAGTGAGACATATCTAATCTAATGTTGCAGGTGTACATTGCTTGTAGTCAGTGAGTGAGACATATATAATGTTGCAGGTGTACGTTGCTTGTAGTCAGTGAGTGAAACATATCTAATGTTGCAGGTGTACGTTGCTTGTAGTCAGTGAGTGAGACATATATAATGTTGCAGGTGTACGTTGCTTGTAGTCAGTGAGTGAGACATATCTAATGTTGCAGGTGTACGTTGCTTGTAGTCAGTGAGTGAGACATATCTAATCTAATATTGCAGGTGTACGTTGCTTGTAGTCAGTGAGTGAGACATATCTAATCTAATGTTGCAGGTGTACGTTGCTTGTAGTCAGTGAGTGAGACATATCTAATGTTGCAGGTGTACATTGCTTGTAGTCAGTGAGTGAGACATATATAATGTTGCAGGTGTACGTTGCTTGTAATCAGTGAGTGAGACATATCTAATGTTGCAGGTGTATGTTGCTTGTAGTCAGTGAGTGAGACATATCTAATCTAATATTGCAGGTGTACGTTGCTTGTAGTCAGTGAGTGAGACATATCTAATCTAATGTTGCAGGTGTACGTTGCTTGTAGTCAGTGAGTGAGACATATCTAATCTAATGTTGCAGGTGTACGTTGCTTGTAGTCAGTGAGTGAGACATATCCAATGTTGCAGGTGTACGTTGCTTGTAGTCAGTGAGTGAAACATATCTATTATCTAATCTAATGTTGCAGGTGTACGTTGCTTGTAGTCAGTGAGTGAGACATATCTAATCTAATGTTGCAGTGTGTACATGCCGGTTGTAGTCAGTGAGTGAGACATATATAATGTGCAGGGTACGTTGCTTGTAGTCAGTGAGTGAAACATATCTAATGTTGCAGTCGTTGCTTGTAGTGTAAACTATCTATATCCCTAGCTAATTGTTGCTTGTTGTAGTCAGTGAGTGAGACAATCTAAATCATGTTGCAGGTGTACATAGTCAGTATGTGAAGACCATAATAAATGTTGCAGGTGTACGTTGCTTGTAGTCAGTGAGTTTATGCATATCTAGGCAGTTCCAATGTTGCAGGTGTACGTTGCTTGTAGTCAGTGAGTGAGACATATATATTGCGGTGAATGGATCTCAGGTTTACTCCCACTTGTACCAATTAGTGAGTGAACCATATCTAATGTTGCAGGTGTACGTTGCTTGTAGTCAGTGAGTGAGCAAATCTATTATCTAAAAATGTTTGCAGGTGTACGTTGCTTGTAGTCAGTGAGTGCAACAATACAGTTTTCAGAGGAAGGTGTTGGATTTCAGTTCTGTGTCTTCGTGAATTTTTCTGTGAGGGCATGTCATGTGAAAGTGATTTAAATGGTCAGAACCAGTTTCTCTATTTTCTACAAAGCTGTTTATCACACTCACCATGTCTTGAGTCAAACCCCAGCCACCCAATGATGCTGTTCGTATGCTTGTGGGAAAGATGGGTTGGGAACTTAAAGTAGTCACTCCAAGGACGTGTTTTTTGACTCTTTCAAAGGCCTACCTTTAGTTTAGGTATTGTCTCATCTATGTGTTAGGCCTCCGTGGGCCGCCAATTGAATATTCCTGTATAATCCATAGTATATTCTACAAGATATCTAGAATATGATAGGATGAAAATCTGGTCAGGGGGAGCAACCCCACAAGGCAGAGGCAGGGGTAGATATCTCAGGCATGCTGTTGTGGTCATGAGCAATGTCAGAGTAGATACATAGTTAAAGTGGATCTGTGAAGAGCAACTACAGGAATTGCTTGTGTGTGTTTTGGATCCACACAGAAGAATTGCTTTTGAACATTTCAGGTGGATGAAGACTATATCCAGGATAAATTTAACTTGACTGGACTAAATGAACAAGTGCCACACTACAGACAGGCCCTGGATATGATCCTTGACTTGGAACCAGGCAAGTGCACATTCTTTTTTTTTTTTTCTTGTCATTGTTCCCACCTCAGCCCAATAAGACATAGGTCAGTAGACTTTTGACGTTGAATATACACACTTGTTTGGCTTATCTTGACCAGGTGTAGGGAGAGATAATGAAAAATGTCTCTGTTGTGTGCAGTGGTTGGCAGATGCACTTAGCGGGGCACATCCTGTTCTATAAATATTATTTCTGCTTCCCTCTGTTCTTATCTTCTTAGTTTTCTGGGCATCTCCTTATGACAGACACAATCCTTTTGTTTGCAACAGTTTTTAACCTCTAGTTCTTGCATTATCATAGTAGTTTAGAAACTGCAACCGTTTCAGATTGTGCTGGATATAGTAAATGCCAGAGCCCAACAACAAATATTAGAAGTGTCAACAATTCTTCACCAGAAGGAAAGTTCAATAATAGAGCTTTCAAGATGTCAGCCTGGTCCATTGTGCACCTGCCCTCTACAGTAACTTTACTTGCAAGCCTGTCAGTTTGTCCTTTCGTTTCATGCCTACATTGATGCCATCACTGGCTGTAGACATGGTACTGTCTTACAGATGCTTGTTGTATCCAATGTTTCTTTTGGCGTGGGGCTGACCACATCACCTACCGAGTGCTGATTGGTCTGTAAAATATGTCTAGCCCTATAAACCCAATACACTTAAAGCCACGGTATTAGGTATAGTGATGTTTACTTACTTACTTGATGTTCCTTTGATCTTTAACATTTTTCTTGCAACTTTTTGTGAAAGCATCACTTGCCCGTTTATATCTGCGCTACAACATGTCTTGCCTGTTTTTTTGTTTTTCCTGTTCAGTACATCTGCCAGTCTGTCTGTCCGGATGTCATGGGATGCACAGTAGATATCTTCCCATGGCTGTAAAGTGTTAGTCACATTGTCTACATGGCAGATGTTTCATGGAAGTTGTGTTCTTCTTTGTGGTCACTGGCTGTAAACTGGCAGAAAGTCCTGTTGTTGTCTGCTTCTGGACTTTGGTCTTGATTGAAGACTTGAGAGTTGCATCTATTTGACACATCTGGCTTGTTTGTTAGTTCCTCACCTTTCACAGGGTGTCGCACTCCTGCTTCAAAGGAAATGTTATTTGAGTCTCTGCTGGTTTGGTCCCTAGTGGGGAACCTCTTTAGTGTGGCCATGTGTGTGGGTCCAGAGTTCTTTTCACTGTCAGCAAACAGCTAATCAGAACTCAAGAGTATATAAATAGGCAAGTCGTCTCAGGAAGCTACTGCTAATATGGTCACAAAATCATTGACATTCAGCTGTATAATTTTTAAATAAGAAAAAGTTTGTAATGTCTGGATTGATTCTGAAGTCTAGGAAATGCTCACATTTCAGCTATGAGACTGTTTCATCTTAGCTGTGTGGCAGATTTTGTGTGTGTGTGTATACGATGTTTATTCATTCTGTTTTTTCTTAACCTTGTATATTTATGTTTGTTTATATACACTGTTTACATACACTGTTTACATACACTGTTTACATGTGCTGCTCACATTCCTCATGCCAGAAGAGGACGAAGACAATGTAGAAGGAGAAATGATAGAGCAAGCTGCAGAAATGGTGTACGGGCTCATACATATGAGGTTTATTCTGACCAACAACGGGATCGTCAAGATGGTAAATGCCAACCTGGCCACCTTTGTTTGCCCGCATTCCAGGGTTTCTTTTGTTTCATTGTTTGGCATTTCCCTTGTTGTTTGAGGGGTTTTCATTTGTTTGGAAAATAATATGTAGTTAGTGATAGCATTGTTCAACTTCTAGTGTTGGCTGGAGGTGTTGAGATCAATTGCAAGCATACTCAGCACACCTCACAGAATTATTTAATTAAACATTCTTTGATGTTTTTTTTTTTAGCAAGACGTAAAGTTGTCACATAAAATATTATGCAGATGTAAAGCACAGAGATGCAAAAGTACATATTTTAGCATCTAAATATACTAAAATAAATGCAGAAACATAATTTTCAGGCAAAATTATTACGTTTATATTTTGTGTATAAAGTTGTAGATCACAATATTATATTGTACCACAAAGATGTTGGTATCATGAATAAAAGGATGATTTTATCAGAATTAAAAAATGATTCTCCCCTTATGCACATAACATTTAACAGATAGCTATTCAATAAATGAAACAGTTATACGTTATAAAACTACAGTAGAGCAATACTAGAAAGTATATATTTTGTTTTCAAGATAAGAGTTGCATGTTGTGTCTGTTGCAGGTCATATGACAGACAGTTAAACTGAATTATTCTTTGACATATATATGTCTTATAATGATGATTGTGATAAAGGTAGGTGAGAGCAGATGATTCAGTAAAGTGAAAAGAGTTAAAAGATGATTCTATTAACACAGATGATGAACTGGAGGAGAACCCCAATCAGAGCGATTTGATAGAGCAGGCTGCCGAGATGTTGTATGGGCTGATACATGCCCGCTACATCATGACCAACAGGGGCATCGCACAGATGGTAAGATTGGGCTTGGGAGGTTAGGAGGCAATAGAATGGTAGGGGGGGGGGGGTATCTTTGCACATATGGTCAGTCTAGAGTGGGTTTCAGTGTTGTAAATTTTCTTCTTTGCGTTCGCCAGCTATAAACTCCGGCGGAAAGTTCTGGTTGTTCGTCCACTTCTGGACTGCAGTCCTGTTCCAGATCCTGAGTGTTGCGTGTGCATCCATTTGATAGACTGTTGGTTCCTTGCCTCTCAGGCAGATGCACTCCGACTTTGAATGAAGCTCCCAGTTAGTCGACTCTTATGACATGCTTTTGGGTCGGCGATGGGTCTATTCTTGTTTTCCCCACAGTAGGACCCCGGAACCCACACGGGGACGTGTTGGAAAAAATGTTGAGCTAAATGGGCTTAGGTGTAAATGTTAACTGGTGGCCAGCACAGGTGGTAACATGGAAAAGAGAGACTCATTTTGAAGCAGATGTGTGTCACGGTCTTCTTTTGAAGTCATGGTCACCGAGAATTGTTGTGCCCTTACATTGGTGTGAAGTTCTGTTGTCACTTCTTCTGTTTACATTGTTCACCTATGGATGAGTGTATACATTTGGCTGTACTTTTGTTCACCATTAACCTAATTTTAGGAATAACTGAACATTATACAGGTAAATGAATTTGGAGTTTTAAGAACTAAAGAATTTCAGTCCACTGTACAGTTTTATAAATATTATTATTACTGGGGTGAAATAAAAAGTAAATGCAATTGTTAGCTCGTAGCCAAATCCAACTGTTCCAAGGTGTATTGTGCATCAACTTTAACCTTTGACATGTTCAAGTGGATGTCTGTAGGGCTAGATGATTTTCTGTACGTCTGTTATTCAATGACTGACACTTGCTGTGGAGATATTGATAGTTCAGTGTTTACTTGGGCCAGAGTATTGCATTCACAACAGAATTACTGTCAGGACTGCCCACAGTGTGTTGTGTTCTCATTTGTATAGCTCCTGTCACTGTTTACTGTCATTCACAGCAGAATCACTGTCACTATGCCCATAACTCTCTGTCGTGGATTTATCTGGCGTCTCATAAAACAGTTCCCTGGTCTGGTCTCTAGCAGGGTATACATTTTTAGTGAATCAGTCACTACTTGGTCTCAAATCATAAAGATGATTTTCTGTCAAGATGTGTAGCGAAGTGAGTTGTACAACACACCACCACAGTCGATGTCAAATGGTGGCTGTTATAGTTTCTTGTTCAGTGGCCATATATCAGTTCATTGCCATATCCCAGGAGAATCTTGAATCTCCCAGCATTGTCGTTTGTTCAAGGGCGTTTCAGTACAGAGCATTGGGCTAGCTGTTCTTTCTTTTGTCCGTTTCTGTCCAACATTTCTTCAGTGGTAATGTTATCTGTAGATCAGTTAAATATTTATATGGAAAGAGCAAATGAGGCAGAATGTTTTTTTGGGTTTACTCTCAAAAGGATGGTTGGTACATTATTTTGTGGTTCACAGCTAGGCTAGATATCTGCTTTAGGACCAACACACCTCTTTTCAGTGAACTCCCTAATTAGTTACCCATTAGGACATGCTGTTAGGGGGGCATAGAGCCTGTCTGAGATATAGAAATGGTGCAGTTGGTCCTGTAGTCACATGGCTTATCCTTGCATAAAGATGAAAGTTGATTACCTCTTTGGAATTAGTGGATTGAGTCAGGTCTAACGTTCACATCTGTATGTTTCTTCTGCTGATAAATATTGACTGTAAATATTAGTTTATATTTTGAGGGCAGAGTGTGTTGTCTTTATTTTTCAGTCTGTTGGTGTCCTTGAGAGTTAGTATCCTTGTTTAATCATTACTGGGGCACGCTCTTTCCTGGTTGGGAACCACTGGTCTTTGAGTTTTCTAACCATTGTTACTAAATTGGTGTGTGTGAGCTTTTGTGTTAGACTTGATTACATAGAGGTTACCTCAGAAAGTTGGCTTTATTGCATGGATATATTGCAGAGAGTTAACAAATGAATTGTTTATCACATACTTATAGAGCATATAGTGAATGTGTATCATATAGTGGACGGATGATTTCTCACATGAACTTGTGGCATAAATTTGAATGATTTTATTGCATGGGTGTGTAGCTTAGATGAGTTTTTGCATAAATATGTAGTATATGAGAAAGATGTTTTTTTTAAAAATCTAACATAAGTTAAATTTAGATATGTGGCATAAAGTTAAAAGATGGTTTTATTATATGGATGTGTTTGCGTAGTTAAAAGATGGTTTTATTATATGGATGTGTTTGCATAAAGTTGAAAGATGGTTTTATTATATGGGCGTGTTAGCATAAAGTTAAAAGATGGTTTTATTATATGGATGTGTTTGCATAAAGTTGAAAGATGGTTTTATTATATGGGCGTGTTAGCATAAAGTTAAAAGATGGTTTTATTATATGGATGTGTTTGCGTACAGTTTAAAGATGGTTTTATTAAATGGATGTGTTTGCGTACAGTTTAAAGATGGTTTTATTAAATGGATGTGTTTGCGTACAGTTTAAAGATGGTTTTATTATATTATATATAACACATTGTGCTAGCATGTTAGTAAGATGGCTGTATGTTCTAATGTGCAGCTTACATGAGAAAGATGGCTGTATGTTCTAATGTGCAGCTTACATGAGAAAGATGGCTGTATGTTCTAATGTGCAGCTTACATGAGAAAGATGGCTGTATGTTCTATTGTGCAGCTTACATGAGAAAGATGGTTGTATGTTCTAATGTGCAGCTTACATGAGAAAGATGGTTGTATGTTCTAATGTGCAGCTTACATGAGAAAGATGGTTGTATGTTCTAATGTGCAGCTTACATGAGAAAGATGGTTGTATGTTCTAATGTGCAGCTTACATGAGAAAGATGGCTGTATTTTCTGATGTGCAGCTTACATGAGAAAGATGGTTGTATGTTCTATTGTGCAGCTTACATGAGAAAGATGGTTGTATGTTCTAATGTGCAGCTTACATGAGAAAGATGGCTGTATGTTCTAATGTGCAGCTTACATGAGAAAGATGGCTGTATGTTCTAATGTGCAGCTTACATGAGAAAGATGGCTGTATGTTCTAATGTGCAGCTTACATGAGAAAGATGGCTGTATGTTTAATGTGCAGCTTACATGAGAAAGATGGCTGTGATGTTCTAATGTGCAGCTTACATGAGAAAGATGGCTGTATGTTCATTGTGCAGCTTACATGAGAAAGATGGTTTTATGTTTTCTAATGTGCAGCTTACATGAGAAAGATGGTTGTATGTTCTAATGTGCAGCTTACATGAGAAAGATGTTGTATGTTCTAATGTGCAGCTTACATGAGAAAGATGGTTGTATGTTCTAATGTGCAGCTTACATGAGAAAGATGGCTGTATTTTCTGATGTGCAGCTTACATGAGAAAGATGGTTGTATGTTCTATTGTGCAGCTTACATGAGAAAGATGGTTGTATGTTCTAATGTGCAGCTTACATGAGAAAGATGGTTGTATGTTCTAATGTGCAGCTTACATGAGAAAGATGGCTGTATTTTCTGATGTGCAGCTTACATGAGAAAGATGGTTGTATGTTCTAATGTGCAGCTTACATGAGAAAGATGGCTGTATGTTCTAATGTGCAGCTTACATGAGAAAGATGGTTGTATGTTCTAATGTGCAGCTTACATGAGAAAGATGGTTGTATGTTCTATTGTGCAGCTTACATGAGAAAGATGGTTGTATGTTCTAATGTGCAGCTTACATGAGAAAGATGGCTGTATGTTCTAATGTGCAGCTTACATGAGAAAGATGGCTGTATGTTCTAATGTGCAGCTTACATGAGAAAGATGGCTGTATTTTCTGATGGCATTATTACGCGGATGTGTAGCATAGGTTAGAGAATTATTCTTTTTTGTTGACATTCTTGTTTAGTCATACAGTAAAACCTCGCTAAAGCGAACTCGCTTTAGACAAACAATTGATTAATGTGAACAAAAATATGCTTCCAGCAGGAGTGTTATTCATGCTACATTTTTAACACAAACGCTCAATTTTTCAGTTTATTGAAATTCATATAACCAAGGTTTTACTGTAAAACGGGCGGCCAAAAAATAAATCTGTTAGATGACACACTGTGCCCACTGAAAGTCTTGACTGTCTGTATGTTTGTAGGTGTGTCTGTCCATCTTTCTAACTTGTGTGTGTTTCCATCTGTTCATATGTGTCTGTATCTGTTCATCTTTGGGCCTATTGATGCAAGTCAGTCGGCCCATCCATGCGTCTGGTGTGTTCAGTTTTCCATGCACACGACACAGACACATGCCCTGTGTGTGGAGTCTGTTTGAATACAGTATGGTCTGTTGGTTGAGCTGAAGCAACTATCTTCTCTTGTTGACAGATAGAGAAGTGGCAGCAGGGAGACTTTGGCTACTGTCCCAGAGTTTACTGTGAAAACCAGCCAATGCTACCTATTGGTAAGTGCTTGACTGTGCCTTGCCCATGATTTGTGCCATCTGTTTTATTGTGATTTTAGTGTATGTGTGTGGGTTTTAAAAAATTTTTATTTACATTTTGGTTCTTTAATGTGGTTTGAGTATATTTGTGTGAGAAGGGGGTGTACACTGGTTGGTTGTGAATTTTCCCAGATGGCTGGGTGGTACTCTTCTTACTGGGCCATGTTGGGGGAGGGGGGGGGGAAGCAGTTATGCTGACAGCAAATAACAGTAGCCTAAACATGAGATTGTTCAGCCAGAAAAAGGTATCCAGTCTTTACATATCCTGCTAAATGATCAGTGCTATTGGGGATGGGGTGATTTCCCTGCCGCTCACCTTCCCAAGATTCACCGTCTTAGCTGTGATAATTGATGTTGAGATATGAGCCATTAAAAAAATAGTCTGGCTTCTGTCACAGAAGGTTGGTGAATGCGGCACAGTTATGCCTTCCATCTTGAAGGTTTAGAAAAAAACTCAATCTACTGGGTGTGTAAGACAGATGTTGTAATTTTTCATATATGATAGAGAGAGAAAAAAAGTCCTCAGAATCTGAGCCAAAGCTGAGGATCTAATTGTAGATTGCCCAGTGTGAAACTAGGTCCTGTGACCCCCAGGGATGTGTATCCTGTTCACTCCTTGTATGTTCGATTTATCTGTTCAGTTGTCACTGTTTCCACTGCTGCTGTTATGCCCACTATTATTATGTTTTCAATCAGTGTAGACAATAAAGATCAGTTTTTCAACTTATTGGAAAAGGCACACACAAGATCCTGACATCTTCCCACATCTCAGTGAGGTAACTGGAGAAGGAAGAGAAGCCTATCCACTGACAGTTTGTCTCATGACACATGTTAACTTGCTGGTTGAAGCCTATCCGCTGACAGTTTGTCTCATGACACATGTTAACTTGCTGGTTGAAGCCTATCCGCTGACAGTTTGTCTCATGACACATGTTAACTTGCTGGTTGAAGCCTATCCGCTGACAGTTTGTCTCAGGCCACATGTTAACTTGCTGGTTGAAGCCTATCCACTGACAGTTTGTCTCAGGCCACATGTTAACTTGTTAGTGGACTCATCCTGACTGAAATATGCTCCCTGCAGGTCTTTCAGATGTACCAGGGGAAGCCATGGTGAAGCTGTACTGCCCAAAATGCCAGGATGCATACACCCCAAAGTCATCACGCCATCATCACACAGATGGGGCCTACTTTGGAACAGGCTTTCCTCACATGCTGTTCATGGTGCACCCAGAGTATCGACCCAAACGACCCGCTAATCAGTTTGTCCCTAGGTAAGTTACTCTTTCCAGCATTAGTCTGTGTTTGTAGATTTACTGGTGGTGGCAGAGTGACTGTAAACCAGCATTGTGTTAACCTTTATTAGCTGCTGATGCTGCTCCACTTAACAGTGAGCTAGTTAATGATATAGCAGACATGGTGAAAGGCTCTCTGAAATCAGTGTGACAGTCCTGGGTGCAGTGAGGTCACTTCTTGATTCATTAATTCTTTCAATGGTACTCTTTTTATGTATTTATACTACATTCTTTCATAGAGATTCAGAGAGGCTGCTGTGCCAGAGTCCGCACCAGTACATGTGTGGCTACAAGCCTATGTTCTTTATTGATATATATATGCCTTTCCTCCTTATTGATACATACATGCCCTCACACTTTTGGGTGCCTGCATTTCCTCACACTTTCTGATATCTAAATACCTTCCTGCTGTCTGCATTGACCTATTGAGGCAAGAATGAGAAGCTTTTCTGTGCCAGAAATCCTTTAGCAACTAGGCATTGAAAATAGTGATCTGCAGCGGTGAACCCCAAGTGTTCAGAATGCTGAAGTACACTTTATAGTTGCTCTGTTATGTTGTCATTTTTATATACCTTTTCTTGAAGTCACTCATGCTGACCTCCAATTATTCATACCTGCACACAAACATATACATGCTATATATCAGAGCTGTTCAGTTGGCAGCCCGCAGAGATCTAGCAGATGGCCCCCAGAGATCTAGCAGATGGCCCCCAGATCTGCCTGTGGTGTTAATGATTTTCTGCGCTGGGGCTCAGGCCTCTGTTGGCCCCAGATTGAATAGCCTTGCTTTATGTGCTCAGAAATGGGGATATTATTCAGCGGGGAGTAGTCATAGAGTTTGGGTGACTTTCATCATGCAGGGGGAAAAGACAGGCAAACTTTTAATCAAATTACACCTGATACCTATTGGTAAGGCAACTCTTTGTTGCTGTGGAAGGGGAGAAAAAGTCTGGGAATGCCCAGAGTGCTATGTTGATGATACTTGCTTGATTGATTCATTTATAAGAATTCTGTACATTATTTACACCTAGACACTCATTGAACTTAATCTCTTAGGCTGTATGGCTTCAAGATCCACCCTTTGGCATACCAACTGCAGTACCAGGCTGCGTCCAATTTCAAGCTACCACTGCGAGGTACCGGGCATCCCAACAGCAAGAGATAAGCTCCAAGTCTGGACTACCTGGACTAGCAACTTAAATAATATGTATTGATTAATGGCCTGTATATATATTTTGTGATTATTATTAACTAAATGAAAATATTTCATCAGATGTTATTGATTATTTGAGTTTTGTCTATAATTTGTCCATGGCTCTTCTAAAATCTCCAGTTGTTTTATCATCATAATTTGATCTTGTTCCTATTTTGTTTAGTGTTGATCCAGTTTTTAGGGGTTTTGTTCCATTTTGTTTAGTGTTGATCCAATTTTAGGTTTTGTTCCATTTTTTTTTTTTGGTTGCATCATTAAACATACATTACTGCAGTCAGATTTTAAATTTTTTTTTTAAAGTATTGTTTGAGCTCATAATTTGTGACATAATTTTTTTCAGATTCTGTCAGTCTGTATTTGAACTATTTCATCTATTCAGAATTGACCGGCCTGTTGGATGGTTTCTTCTGGTTGTATTCCCTGCTGTATGGCAGTTGTCATCACATGGCCACAGCTTTCTTACCTAGAACCCCTGGTAACTTTCAATGGTTGTGTTCGGCCAAAGTCTGAGCTCATCTCCTTGAGCCAACAGTCTACTTACAACTAAGCCAGATCTCTAAAATGGTTGTGCACTCACAAGTCAAACAAGACAGCTGTCCAGAACGGAACCAAAATTAGAAAAATGTTCGCTGCAGTAAACAGCTGGTGAACATAAAAATTTAACCAAAAAAAAAAACAGAGTTCCTCTGTAATTAAATGGTTTCAAACCATCTAAAATTTCAGGAGGTCTCACCTTGCCTCTTCTCCTTTCCTATTTCTCCCATTGTTTATTATGTATTTGTTTTTTTAAAGAGCATTTTAAATTTAGGTTTATCTTTTCTGGTTTTCTTCATGATTCAGTTGTACATTTCATACAAATTTACTTTTATATTTAATGCTATTTTGTTTACTTTGCGTCAGATGTTAAATATTAGGTTCTATTTCTCAACTTCAAATGCCCCCCCCCCCCCTTTTTTTTTTACATTAAAAGTTTTGGAGAGGATACAAGGTTGTAATTTGTGCACATCTGGTCACCTCAACCATAAAGTCTTTAAGTGATGTAGAAAACTAGTAACCATAGAGATGCCAGAGAAAGGCTTTAGGTGAGCAGCAGAGATCAAGTTAGGAATGAAGTTTTAAGGGGGGGGGGAGTCGACACAGAACCACTACTACATTAGGATCAAAGACAGCAAAAACATGAGTTTGCCCCACTTTAGTGAGGGAGAGAATGTCATGTGATGTTACATCATACAAGGCATCAACACCAGAGGAGAGGAATCTGCACCATGAGGTAGGCTAAGAACAAGATGGAAAGACAATACCAGATAACTGAAACCTTGTATCTCCCTTGACACCAGAAGTGGGATCTTTCTACATTATTCTTGGTCTACCTCTGGGTTTATGTCTCGCTCCTGTCATATAAAAGCTTTGTGTGGTATGACATTACAAGGGGCGTTCCATGGTTGCTAAATGTCAATTTTGAAAATTGTTGGATGTGACAGAGTCTGGCACTGGCAACACAGGGTGAGTAACGCATGTATCATGGCCAAATAAATGACAATATTAACATGTTGGCATTGTTTCTCTGATTCAGATTTCACCTGTTGCTTCTTCAACATTGCCTTTTCCATTGTCAAGCTTAGCTAGCAGCTGGCCAGCTTGACCTAGACAATTGATACTGTTGAAGTTTGTCAAAGGTTAACTTTCCACCTGGTTCTTGCTTTAACAAGAACCATCTTCAGACAGTTTGTGGAACTGAACAGGAGAATTTTCCACAAAAACTTCATGATAAATGCAAGCCCTTTTAGGACTAAGAAATCCTGAACGCCAGTGTGTACTAGACTTGAATTAAACAGGACATTTGAGACAATTCACTGAGTCAAGCATCAGCTGTTGCTTGTCATGTATAGCATGTTGGAGGCTAGTCTGACAATCAGCTATGATGTCCAGTAGTAACATTTGCATGAGCTACGCCAGCTGGCACGGATGTCCAGTAGTAACATTTGCATGAGCTACACCAGCTGGCACGGATGTCCAGTAGTAACATTTGCATGAGCTACACCAGCTGGCACGGATGTCCAGTAGTAACATTTGCATGAGCTACGCCAGCTGGCACGGATGTCCAGTAGTAACATTTGCATGAGCTATGCCAGCTGGCACGGATGTCCAGTAGTAAACATTTGCATGAGCTACACAGCTGGCACGGATGTCAGTAGTAAACATTTGCATGAGCTACACCAGCTGGCACGGATGTCCAGTAGTAACATTTGCATGAGCTACACCAGCTGGCACACGGATGTCCAGTAGTAAACATTTGCATGAGCTATGCCAGCTGGCACGGATGTCCAGTAGTAACATTTGCATGAGCTACGCCAGCTGGCACGGATGTCCAGTAGTAACATTTGCATGAGCTACGCCAGCTGGCACGGATGTCCAGTAGTAACATTTGCATGAGCTACGCCAGCTGGCACGGATGTCCAGTAGTAACATTTGCATGAGCTACGCCAGCTGGCACGGATGTCCAGTAGTAACATTTGCATGAGCTACACCAGCTGGCACGGATGTCCAGTAGTAACATTTGCATGAGCTACACCAGCTGGCACGGATGTCCAGTAGTAACATTTGCATGAGCTACACAGCTGGCACGGATTGTCCAGTAGTAACATTTGCATGAGCTACACCAGCTGGCACGGATGTCCAGTAGTAACATTTGCATGAGCTACGCCAGCTGGCACGGATGTCCAGTAGTAACATTTGCATGAGCTACGCCAGCTGGCACGGATGTCCAGTAGTAACATTTGCATGAGCTACACCAGCTGGCACGGATGTCCAGTAGTAACATTTGCATGAGCTACACCAGCTGGCATGGATGTCCAGTAGTAACATTTGCATGAGCTACGCCAGCTGGCACGGATGTCCAGTAGTAACATTTGCATGAGCTACACCAGCTGGCACGGATGTCCAGTAGTAACATTTGCATGAGCTACGCCAGCTGGCACGGATGTCAGCTCCTAGTAGTGAACATGAAATGAACTACACCAGTGTACATGGATTCAGATGACCTGAATTTGTTTAGGGTATGCAAGTGTTGCAGCCATCTATCCATCATCATCATCATCATGTAACAAGCAGAATGTCCCTCCCACCATATATATATATATATATATATATATATTCACACTCAAGATATCTCCAGCGTGCACACAGACTCAGATTAAAAAAACAAGTTACACAAAGGACAGGTACACAAGGTTATAAATCAGCACATCAGTGTTTCATTAGTACCAAAAGAGATACTGTGTGAAATACAAACAAATAATGTAATTAAGTATATGGTGCTGAATTTAGTAGCTCGAAATACACAAAATTTAGGAAAAAAAACCATAATTGCCTAACCATGGACTGATATTTTAGTCTGGCTAACAGTCCAAGGATCACCAAACATCTGCCAATGTGAAGCTCATGGCTGGTTTCTGAGCTAGGGGAAGGGAAGAAGAGCTCAACAGAATCTTAGCAGGTATGGTAATTTGGTACCGGATCAGAAGGAAAGTCTCCACCAGCCTCAATCTTGATATGTTGATGCCCTTTTTCTTGAATCAAATCATTTTCAGGGTAAGTTCTTTTCTTGGTCTCCTGGCCACCCAAGACATTATCACATCGAGCTGCTGTAGAGTTTCTCTATGTTTATCATTCCATCTTGTTTTTGGTGTACCTGGCGCTTTATGTCCTTCTCTTTTGGTCTTTGCCTTGTATGGTGTGGTGTCACAGGGCATTCTCTCTTGGTCTTTGCCTTGTATGGTGTGGTTTCACAGGGCATTCTCTCTTGGTCTTTGCCCACTGTGTGTGTTCCAGGGCCTCACAGGGCATTCTCTCTCAATGGGCAAACCATTTCATTTGCCCACTGTGTGTGTTCCAGGGCCTCAATGTGGGGGAAAACTAGAATAGACCCACTGTTTCCCCATCAAACATGTCAGAGTTGACTAATTGGGGGCTTCCTCTGAAGTTGTAGTGCATGCCTGAAAGACAAGGACATTTCAGATATGTAGTATGGATGTGCATGGCAACACTCTTGAACCAGTAAGTAAAAGTCAAGTAAAGATCCCTTATTAGGTGCATCGGGTATCTGAGCAGAGCGTCCCATATTTTTACAGACCAATCAGCACTGGATGGGTAATGTGGTCAGCATTACGCCGGCCGTCTTTACCTCCCCAGGACAGCCATCCTGGTACCCATTCTAGGCTGGGTCGATCTGCGACGCCCTATACAACGATAAAAATCCACGCATCTGGAACCAGACTAGTCAAGAGGTGGATGAACAAGAACGTTCTACCCATTAGAGATTACATTTTCTGTCTTTATGTGTAATTTAGAATTGGTTGTGGACCTCTTATGACCTGATTGCTGATTGTCTCTCTTCTGGAGCAAAGGTGATAAAGAAGGGCACTGGATGCCAAAGTTGCCAGTCTTGAGTATCTCGGGTTACTTATCTACATATCTCATCTACCCTGCTGCCCTCTGTGGGTGAGGAGGTATATTGTTGGTTTACTCCTCATCATTTGCTGAGTGTAGGCAACCATTGCTATCTCAGACGATCACCACAATCTTGGATCAAGTGTTTTTGCCCCTTGTATATGCCACATTGCAAAACCATCTATTTATCTTGCGGTCTTTGAGCGATACTTTTCATAGTAAGTTTGCAAGATGTAATAGGCTTTCAAGTGTACCGTTTCTCATAACATGACCAGTGACTGTGTGTCCACTAGAAGTTGAAGACCGGACTGAGGGTCTTGTTAGAGAACTTCAGCACTTGAACACCACACTTGAATGAGCCAACCAAGATTCTGAAAGTTGAAAAAGAAAGTTTCATTTTGGTTTTAGTTAACAAGTGAAGGTTCAATTATTTTGGTTTCAGTTAACAAGTGAAGGTTCAATTATTTTGGTTTCAGTTAACAAGTGAAGGTTCAATAATTTTGGTTTCAGTTAACAAGTAAAGGTTCAATAATTTTTGGTTTCAATTAAAGTGAAGGTTCAATTATTTTGGTTTCAGTTAACAAGTGAAGGTTCAATAATTTTGGTTTCAGTTAACAAGTGAAGGTTCAATAATTTTGGTTTCAGTTAACAAGTGAAGGTTCAATTATTTTGGTTTCAGTTAACAAGTGAAGGTTCAATGAATTTGGTTTCACTTAACAAGTGAAGGTTCAATGATTTTCGTTTCAGTTAACAAATGAAGGTTTAATTATTTTGGTTTCAGTTGAAAAAAAAAATTAAGTGAGGGTCTAATGATTTTTGCTTCAGTTTAAGTGACCTTGCGACTCTCAGGCATATGGTGCCAGCCTCATATTATTTTACGGACCAGTCAGCATTAGCTGATGATGTCTTCTTTTCCTTCTTTATGTTCACCAGCTGCAAACTTAGGCAGAAAGTTCTGGTTGTTCGTCCCCTTTTGGAATCATATTAAAACACACTTACGTGCCGTCCGGGTAGGCTGCAAGTGATGTCAGCGGTCCTGCTCCGTCGACCACGTACTCACATTCACAAACTGCACACAAATACATGCCAAGAAATTATTAACACAACACCTGACACTTGTTATCATTAACAAATATTCAGTGATAACATTCTGGAAAAGCATCCTAGTAAAAAATGTATTAGCTTGTTCTGGAGAAGTTCACCCCATCTGGTCATTGAGTTAAACATTCATGTCGATCCTGTTTACCCAAAAAATGGTTGACATATTCCGTATCTGGGGACAGCTTTTATCGAGTTTGCTCTCTAGGCAGTTTGTGGCCTCCCACTGATGAGATTCATCACAATTAGTTATACATCTTTCTAATGCTGAGATTGTGTCCAATTTCAGCATACATTTAAAGAAAATTTACTTGTTTTTTTCCATCATGGGTAGTGGTTCATCTCTGTAAGTAGATAGGTTTTTGCTACAATTTCAACCAGGATGGAGCCATACGTTCAGTTTTATTAATGGAGCCATACAGTCAATTTTCTTTAAGGGAGCCATACAGTCAGTTTTCTCTAATGGAGCCAAACAGTCAATTTTCTCTAATGGAGCCATACAGTCAATTTTCTCTACGGAGCATACAATCAATTTTCTCTAATGGAGCCATACAGTCAATTTTTTCTAATGGAGCCATTCAGTCAATTTTCTCTAATGTCCTGAAACTTTTAACAACTTGCCTGAAGCCCTATTTTTCAACCCTATCTGAGATTCTGATATCACTACCAAAGAGGTGAAGCCGTGGTATCATCACAAACCAATTATTACAACCATCATCCTCTACTGTCACCTTCAAGGGTCATGAGGACGACAAGCTGGTGCTTCGGCACTTGAAAGGTGTGCTGGCTGTTGTCACGGCGGGTCAGTGAACAAGGTTTCTACTCCCATCCATCATCTTTTTTGATGCCCGCCAGTAACTGATGCTACATTGCGACAAAATGTTCACACTGTTTAATCTTTTTGTTTCTTTAAGTAATTGGTAAAAAGTATTTTTTCCAACACTGTGTCTGATCATATTGTTTCTCATCTGGGTACACACGATTCTCCTTCTTCATGTTCACGGACTGTAAACTCTGGCAGAAAGTTCTGGTTGTTTGTCCACTTCTGGACTTTAGTCTTGTTCCAGAACTTGAGTTTTGCATGCACATCCATTTTACAGACCTGGCTTATTTGTATGCAGACTAATGGTTCCTTGCCTCTCAGAGAGATGCACACTGTTTGTGAAGCCAGCTCCTAATTATTTGACTCGTATGACATGTTTGTCAGGGAGGAAGTGGGTCTATACCCCCCTCCCCCCTCCCATGGGTCATGGAACCCGCACAATGAAAACTGATGGTTAAACAGCATTTTTTAGCCATTTCATCATGACCCATTTTATTATTCACTGTTCACCATTTGCGTTTACACTTTTTTTTTCCCATATCTACAAAATATATTGATACCTACCTCCAGTATCCTGGGACCAAACTTTGACACTGCAGTCACGAGAAGCAGATGCCAGCAGAGCTTCCGTCTGTGTGCCAGGAAGGAATAGACAACTTTCAACAGCTTCATGGTGACCTCGATATTCTAGCTGCAGTTTTCTGGTCCGCATGTCCCATAGCTGTGTGAAAAGGCAATTCAAAATACTTCGGTTGTGTTTAGCTTAAACAAATGTTATAGCAAAAGAATAAAGATGTTGATAAGGATACACTAGAGCATTATATAATAAACTGCACTAAATATAAATTGGAAAGGAAACCCATTGAGGAGTTTTTTCTAAAACGCAAACAACAAATTACTGCAAACAAATGTTTTAATGTAGATAGCAATAAAGACATCCAAAAACTGGTTAAACAATACCTTATTAAAACAAATAAAAAATAAAAAGACCAGATTAGGGATTTACTCAGTATAACAGAAGGAACTGATGAGATGGTAACCCCGGACATCCTAGAGTCAGAGAGATAGTGTAAGTATGATGAGTGCATAGATGTGAACATGGACACATACACAAGGATGAGTGCGTGTAGTATGAGTGCATTTGTGTATAGGATGGATACATAAGACACAGTGTATGTAGGTGGATGGTAAGGAATCACGTGTGGACAGAACAGTGGAAATATAGTTGTGCGAAAGGTACAGATGAATGAGTACATGGATTTAAATGTATTACTGTATGCATGTATATGTGGGTATGAGTGTGCATGTGTGTATATATATGAGAGCGTGTATATCTTATATATTTGTGAGTGTACGAATGACAGTGCAATCAAAGAAACCATAAACTGTGTTGCTGTATGTCTGTTCATTAATGAGAACAAATGGAATGAAGGGTGTAAGCAGCAAGAACGTCATCAACGCACACCATCCACCAAAAATGATACGTCAGTACCGGACAGGTCACATACCAGTAACGGGACATAACTTAAAAGTGACACGACCAGACGAAATTACAGACAAAGCGACACAAAACGCATAAGACATGGAAGAGTGAATATCACTACGTGTGGATGTACTCGTTTTTTTATGAATGTAAGTACAGGCATTGGTAAACGCATATGAAAGAGTTTGCGTGTGTACGTAATGTCAATTAGGCATGCATACACGGATAAGTATGAAAGGACGTACAAATATGTAGTGTTGTCTGCATGTATGAGTACTCGAGTGCATGTACACATACACCTAGTCGGGTGCGACCATATACTCCAGGGATTCATAAAAAAAACCATCCCACTCCACAGCATGCATACAACATGCACATGACCGACAGGACTCATAACAAAAATATGACTGACAGCAAATAGGGAATACAAGTGACTCGATAATGACAGGACTAGAACGCAGAACCTCCAATACCACCCCATCACTGGGATGATAGCAAAGGTTGGTAACGTGATACACATAGTCCCGGCAAAAAGCCACGCTAGAATCCAGCAACGACGGGAATTGACTGAATGGCCTCCCGCTCCCCTTCCCCCCACCTTTCCCTAACTCTTTCGGATGCACTATGAGTTTAACCCCCCAACCCATTCCCACAGAGAGCACTTGAGTTCGTTGCCCAACATGCCACAACAATTCTCATCGCCGATCATTTGGATCTCAAAGCGTGAGCTGGACGGTCCGGTTATATGGTATTTACGTACACCGGAGCTTAGCTATCAACACAACCCGATCACATAATAACAAATGACGACTGGACCCGCTTAAGACTCCACACAAACTCTCACACACATATCCATTACATGACTAACCCGTTCATATTACAGGAAGACAACTATAAGACCACTATGGTCACACGCGGAAAATTTTTCACATTTCGGAACTATTCACATTCAAAAAACTGTTTTCAGTACTTTTTGGCAAAAATTAAAATACTCAAAATTTTAAAACAATAAATGGTGGCCGAAAGGTCGTTGTGTTTGGAAGCTCGCTCTCCTTCGAGATACGCCTAGCCAGATCAAAGGGAGACAGAACAAACAGGAAACACCAAGAATGAAGAAGGAAGACATGCACCAGTGACAACAGGACGAGCGGTTTGATTCGGATGGAAGCATTAAGCCAGAAATGGCACAAACACCAGTATTCAGTCACGAAATTGACGCAAATAAACCAGACCACAAATATAGGCGGAGACTGTTAGGAGCCTAGGCTAGCTAGCAGCAGTCTGAACGTGTTCGAGCTTTTCTTTTTTTTTTCCCAAAAGTACTTGGACTTGGACTAGCCAGGGTGGTGCTACAAAATAATGAAACATTCGTCCCCCGTGGGGATGGAGGATGGGTTGTTATTGCATGTTTGAATGCTGAGACCTGAATAGTGAAAATGTGTTGACCGAGGAGGTTTTGGCGATGAACAGACGAATGGAGAACGTGATTGATAATGACCAACAACGGGAAGAGTGAGAAAGAATATGCATTATTATTATTAAGACAGTCTGCGACTCAATTTAGTAATCATCATCTGTAAAACTGTTAAACGAAGTAGTGAGTTGTCAACATTGGTTGGTTCTGGACTGGGGAACTTCATGTGTGCTATAAAATGTGCGGTACGAGACCTTGCCAGACCAGACCAACCAAGCGACAAACCCAGTAAGATGGTTCATGACAGATTCCTTGCCACTGTTAATCACATTTGTTTGAATAACACACTATTATTCAGTCATCATTTATCAACAGCTGGAGCCACGGCTCTCTAACATAGTTGGCTAAACCGGACTGCGCAGAGACCGGGTGACGAACTCCTTGTGGTCCGTGTTCACGCCCGGGAGTAGGCAGAAAAGCCACACTTCTCCCAGATTTACAGTATTTATCATGGGATCAAAGCCGAAGGGTTGCGATATCCATAATACCAAGCCTAAGGGTTAAGTTAAACACATGGCTTCTGGATACAAAAAAAAAAAAAAAAAAATCAGCTGGCACAAAAGTGACAGCGTAAAAAAAATAGCAGGATGGCTACAAGCAATTCAATATTTTTAATTTTTATATCCCCCCCCAAACTGCAGGATTAACATCTCAAGGATGGCAATCCGACATGTACAAATCTGGAAACCCTGTTCAACCTTACAGCTACATATAACAGTTATATTTGGGTACCGCAAATATTTTACAAAGTAAAGTTGTAGTCCAGCGTGGAAATGTGTCATCAACAAATGATTCTGAAAAATGTAATCTTGCATGTATCTAAAGGACACCGGTGTTTTCCAAGACATACATGCTTTCAGGATGTACTTGTTCTCAGAGTCGATGCTGTGTGGCGTAGGTAGTCATGTCTATCTACAACCTTTTGTAGAATGTACTACTTCTTAAAGTCCATGCTGTGTGATGTAGGTAGTCATGTCTATCTACAACCTTTTGTAGAATGTACTACTTCTTAAAGTCCATGCTGTGTGATGTAGGTAGTCATGTCTATCTACAAGCTTCTGTAGAATGTACTACTTCTTAAAGTCCATGATGTGTGATGTAGGTAGTCATGTCTATCCACAACCTTTTGTAGAATGTACTACTTCTTAAAGTCCATGCTGTGTGATGTAGGTAGTCATGTCTATCTACAACCTTTTGTAGAATGTACTACTTCTTAAAGTCCGTGATGTAGGTAGTCATGTCTATCTACAACCTTCTGTAGAATGTACTACTTCTTAAAGTCCATGCTGTGTGATGTAGGTAGTCATGTCTATCTACAACCTTCTGTAGAATGTACTACTTCTTAAAGTCCATGCTGTGTGATGTAGGTAGTCATGTCTATCTACAACCTTTTGTAGAATGTACTACTTCTTAAAGTCCATGCTGTGTGATGTAGGTAGTCATGTCTATCTACAACCTTCTGTAGAATGTACTACTTCTTAAAGTCCATGCTGTGTGATGTAGGTAGTCATGTCTATCTACAACCTTTTGTAGAATGTACTACTTCTTAAAGTCCATGCTGTGTGATGTAGGTAGTCATGTCTATCTACAACCTTTTGTAGAATGTACTACTTCTTAAAGTCCGTGATGTAGGTAGTCATGTCTATCTACAACCTTCTGTAGAATGTACTACTTCTTAAAGTCCATGATGTGTGATGTAGGTAGTCATGTCTATCCACAACCTTTTGTAGAATGTACTACTTCTTAAAGTCCATGCTGTGTGATGTAGGTAGTCATGTCTATCTACAACCTTCTGGAGAATGTACTACTTCTTAAAGTCCATGCTGTGTGACGTAGGTAGTCATGTCTATCCACAACCTTCTGTAGAATGTACTACTTCTTAAAGTCCATGCCATGTGGCGTTGGTAGTCATGTCTATCCACAACCTTCTGTAGGATGTACTACTTCTTAGTCCATGCTGTGTGGCATTGGTAGTCATGTCTACAACTTTCTGTGGGATGTACTTAGCTTTCAATTCGTTTTTACCTCTACAATGGGGCCATGCTTGTGGAATAGAATACACTATAATAATAAACATGTCAATAACTTTAAAGAGGTACTTGTTTTCAAGACATGATGGCTTCCAACAAGTCACTTCTCTAAGGGATATTTGATTCCAAAAATAACATTCAACAGTACTACTAATATCAAATATGTCACTGTACGTACCGACCCTTCACAGCCATTTCCGGTGAAGCCGTTACTAGCAGAGATAACATAGTTGCCATCTGGACTCACATCACAGCAAGTCTGAATGTACTGTTTCTTGGGGAAGCTAAATATTGGCTCAAGTGTCCTTGAATCAAGCACTCTGGAACAAGCCACATGATTTGACCTAATCATCAGCATCAACATACATTTATGATCCTTATAGAATTGGATGCAGCAGTTGTTTTCAAGTGACATAGATCTATACATCAACAGCAGGTAATCACCGTTCTAATTTCACAGTAAACAGGTGTCCAAACAATAGTTGCTGAGTTCCTGTACCAACAAAAAAACCACACAGAATGCCCTACACTACCCTTTGTGGAAAACATTGACACTGCAGTCTCAGTGAAACCAATACGATACACATGCGTTAAATGCATAAGGCAGCTGTCAGAAGTGCCAACACAAACAGTCCAGCACTATAAATGCAGTTCCTCATTGATGGAAGCAGCAGTTACAACAGATCAATTAACTGCATAAGTTGGTAACAAGCCACTTCCCATTTTCTGTAGTTCACAACACAACACCACGCTTGGCACAGGTGACAAGCATTCCAAATTAAATCTGCGGCACATGTGGTGTATCAAGCGCTCAACTCAGTCTATATGTGGAGGAAGCAAAAGCTTGGAGGAACAAAACCAAAAAAAAAAAGGAAAAACAGTAAACCTGCCTATCCAATATTTTATTTGCTTCCTCACCATTTTCTCTTTCCCAAAAATTGTGAAAATTATCTGGTACTGATTTTGGAAGGCTGGAATGACACTAGAGCTGTACTAGGTTTGAACTCTCCCTCTGCCTCTCATTCCCTCAAATTTTCCAGAGCCTTTAGGTCCTCCAGATTTCTTATTCTAAAGATGTGCCCAAAGAACTGATGCGGGTAGCCATCTTTCTTTTCTTTGAGCGAGTTTCCTTTCAGCCATCTTGGTCACACATCTTCTGTCCACATTGTTCTCAACACGATTCTATCAAAGCTTATCATTGCAGTTAGAGGTTAAATATAGAACAATTAAACAGATAAATGTTTACTGCTATTTCTGTTTATTATTAATAATCATTTTAAAGTCATTTCTGAAAATTATTCATTGTTTTACTCCTAGCAGTTAAATAACTGATTGATAACTTGAATGATTTTTTGATTGTTAAACTCCTGAAAGTCAAATGATTGTGCAGCTAAATTGTTTTACTGACTGCTTTACTCTTAGCAAGTAATTCTTTTTGAAGTGGGAGCCACAGTTCTATAGTGACCAGACACAGTGCTCTAGTGACCAAACACAGTGCTCTAGTGACCAGACAGAGTTCTATAGTGACCAGACACAGTGCTCTAGTGACCAGACACAGTGCTCTAGTGACCAGACACCGTGCTCTAGTGACCAGACAGAGTTCTATAGTGGCCAGATACAGTGCTTATGTGACCAATTACAGTGCTTATGTGACCAGACACAGTGCTCTAGTGACAGACACAGTGCTCTAGTGACCAGACACAGCGCTCTAGTGACCAGACACAGCGCTATAATGACCAGACACAGCACTATAGTGACCAGACACATCGCTCTAGTGATCAGACACAGCGCTATAGTGACCAGACACAGCGCTATAGTGACCAGACACAGTGCTATAGTGACCAGACACAGTGCTATAGTGACCAGACACAGCACTATAGTGACCAGACACAGCACTATAGTGACCAGACACATTGCTCTAGTGACCAGACACAGCGCTATAGTGACCAGACACAGCGCTATAGTGACCAGACACAGTGCTCTAGTGACCAGACACAGTGCTATACTGACCAGACAGCGCTATAGTGACCAGACACATTGCTCTAGTGACCAGACACAGTGCTTTAGTGACCAGACACAGCGCTATAGTGACCAGACACAGCGCTACAGTGACCAGACACAGCGCTACAGTGACCAGACACAGCGCTACAGTGACCAGACACAGCGCTATAGTGACCAGACACAGTGCTATAGTGACCAGACACCGTGCTATAGTGACCAAACACAGTGCTATAGTGACCAGACATAGTGCATGCCGCATCAAGTCTAATGTGTGAAATAATTGACTGTGTTCCCCCATGTCGACTCTGTCTGAAATGAGTACCAGTAAATGTCATGGGAGGTAAAGTTGGTACATCAGCCATGGATTTGCTGACTGGTGCACACAACTCTGCGTCTAGTAATATACTCTCAATGTGCCAGTGGGCAAGAAAAGAGTCCTTCATTTTAAATTCATCCGATAAAAATTAATTCAAACTCCCAGTGTGGGCGCCGGGGCTCTATTGTGGAGAAAACTAGAATAGACCCATTGCCTACCGAAAAGCATGTCGTAAGAGTCGACTAATTGGGAGCTTCCTTCGAAGTCAAAGAGCAACTGCCTGAGAGGCAAGGACTCAACAGTCTGCAAAACAGATGTGCATGCAACACTCAGATTCTGGAAGCAAACTAAAGTCAGGAGGTGAACCCACAACTTTCCACCTGAGTTTACAGCTGGTGAATGCCAACAAGAAAAAGAAGAAACAGTTGAGAAATGATACCACAGCCTTCAGGTCATTCTGACAAGCACTCCAATTAGGATAGTGTCCAGCAGGTTGATTATATGCCTGCCTTGTGTTTCCTCTGAGTGTTGAGTGTCTGCCAGATCCCCTGGCGACTTCCCTGACCCCTCCCCTGGGCACTCCCTGACCCCTCCCCTGGGCACTCCCTGCTGCACTGTTCTCTCCGGGTCATAAGGATCTATTCACACTTCCACATTTTTTCACTTGCTTCCAAAGTGTCTTGACCACAGTTAGCTTGACATGCATCAGGTCACCACTCAGTAATTAAAAACCAGCCAATTTTTCTGGCTTTTCATTTACCAACACACCAGAGAATGCACTGGAAAACAGATCCAAAGGGCACTAACTACTCAGGAACTCTGATGTAATACATGCAAGTCAGTGTGGAACCTGCCTTTCTCCAACTTTTTTCAGTGTGCTTTATGAGTCTGCTGCAATCACAACATGTGTGCGCAACTGCTTCTCAAGCCAGCAGAAAGCTGCAGTGACTGCCTACACTTCCATTCTCAAACTAGGCGTGGTATTATATAGTGGGCTTTGTTGCACCAAATTATCAAGTAAAAGTAACTCACCGAGTCAAGTCTACAAACTGAAACTCTCTGACAATCATTTCAGATCCTACCTGACCTCTTTGTCCTCTCCTGTCTGAACAATCCACGAAGAGCACGGCACAAATTTCACGTCTGTTACCTGTGAATGATTATACAATACTTCATTATTCTGTGACCTTAGTTCCCAGGTTGACCCAGCCTCAGACGGGTGCCAGGTAAAGCTCTAGGAAGCAAATATGGCTGACATGATACTGACTACATCCCCTGGCGAAATCCCATATACTGCATCATATGCCTGATGCGCCACTGGTAGGTAAAGGGACCTTTACTTAATTCACTTACTTAGTCGACAGATCATCCTGACTGCACATTTGATCAATCAGGCAACCACAAGATCTCTTTGTCAGTTGTGACCATCACAGAGACTCCACCTACTGTCTCCAGGTCCAGCCCACCATTAACTGCTTGACCATACTCTCTCATGCCAGCGTCAGGGGTCTGTGTCTCCAGGTCCAGCCCACCATTAACTGCTTGACCATACTCTCTCATGCCAGCGTCAGGGGTCTGTGTCTCCAGGTCCAGCCCACCATTAACTGCTTGACCATACTCTCTCATGCCAGAGTCAGGGGTCTGTGTCTCCAGGTCCAGCCCACCATTAACTGCTTGACCATACTCACTCATGCCAGCGTCAGGGGTCTGTGTCTCCAGGTCCAGCCCACCATTAACTGCTTGACCATACTCTCTCATGCCAGAGTCAGGGGTCTGTGTCTCCAGGTCCAGCCCACCATTAACTGCTTGACCATACTCTCTCATGCCAGAGTCAGGGGTCTGTGTCTCCAGGTCCTGCCCACCATTAACTGCTTGGTTTCATGCCAGCGTGTTGCACCAAACTGCTTGACTCTATCAAGCCAGCGTCAGGGGTCTGTGTCTCCAGGTCCAACATTAACTGCTTGACCATACTCTCTCATGCCAGCGTCAGGGGTCTGTGTCTCCAGCCAGCCCACCATAACTGCTTGACCATACTCTCTCATGCCAGCGTCAGGGGTCTGTGTCTCCAGTCCAGCCCACCATTAACTGCTTGACCATACTCTCTCATGCCAGCGTCAGGGGTCTGTGTCTCCAGGTCCAGCCCACCATTAACTGCTTGACCATACTCTCTCATGCCAGTTCAGGGGTCTGTGTCTCCAGGTCCAGCCCACCATTAACTGCTTGACCATACTCTCTCATGCCAGGTCAGGGTCTGTGTCTCCAGGTCCAGCCAGGTAACTGCTTGACCATACTCTCTCATGCCAGCGTCAGGGTCTCTGTGTCTCCAGGTCCAGCCCACCATTAACTGCTTGACCATACTCTCTCATGCCAGAGTCAGGGGTCTGTGTCTCCAGGTCCTGCCCACCATTAACTGCTTGACCATACTCATCATGCCAGAGTCAGGGGTCTGTGTCTCCAGGTCCTGCCCACCATTAACTGCTTGACCATACTCACTCATGCCAGAGTCAGGGGTCTGTGTCTCCAGGTCCAGCCCCACATTAACTGCTTGACCATACTCTCTCATGCCAGAGTCAGGGGTCTGTGTCTCCAGGTCCAGCCCACCATTAACTGCTTGACCATACTCTCTCATGCCAGCGTCAGGGGTCTGTGTCTCCAGGTCCAGCCCACCATTAACTGCTTGACCATACTCACTCATGCCAGAGTCAGGGTCTGTGTCTCCAGTCCAGGTCACTGCAATGACCTCCACAGTCAGAGCAAAAGCTCTAGAATTTTCCATAAAGAACACTGGTCATATTAATCAATGCTCAGGGCTTTAGCTTAAAAAAAAAAAACAGGCGCCGTTACTCACCATAAAGTATCTAACAAAACTAAATAATAGATGTATTAAAAAGGTGCCGGTACAATGCATCATTGCGCAGTCAGTTAAAAAAAAAAGCCATGGTAATGTCACTTAGCTAACATGAAAGTAGATATTGTGAAACATGACATGGATATACACCCATGGGTTAGCAGGCCATAAGGAGAGCCAGGAATAGTAATACTGTAGCCTTCCATGTATGCCATAACAGGAGACCAAGGAGGTTTGGTGTGAAAACTGATCATCTTATCGTGTGGAAAAAAACTGTAGAATTCAATCTATCCTGAAAAAAACGTAGGCAAAACTTCACCTGGTTGATAGCCTATACTGCAATGGGAGATAAAAAGCTAAATAAGTATTGTCAAAGAAAGAACATGTTACAAAAAGTAATGTCACAGAAAGAACATGTTACAATAGGTATTGTTACAGAAAGAACATGTTACAACAGGTATTGTCACAGAAAGAACATATAACAACAAGTATTGTCACAGAAAGAACATGTTACAAGTACTGTCACAGAAAGAATATGTTACAACAGGTATTGTCACAGAAAGAACATATTACAACAAGTATTGTCACAGAAAGAACATATTACAACAGGTATTGTCACAGAGAGAACATGTTTTGTTTGTTTGTATTGTCACAGAAAGAACATATTACAACAAGTATTGTCACAGAAAGAACATGTTACAAGTACTGTCACAGAAAGAACATGTTACAACAGGTATTGTCACAGAAAGAACAGGTTACAACAAGTATTGTCACAGAAAGAACATATTACAAGTATTGTCACAGAAAGAATATGTTACAACAGGTATTGTCACAGAAAAAAACATGTTACAAGTACTGTCACAGAAAGAACATGTTACAACAAGTATTGTCAGATAAAGAACATGTTACAACAGGTATTGTCACAGAAAGAACATGTTACAACAGGTATTGTCACAGAAAGAACATGTTAAAAGTACTGTCACAGAAAGAACACGTTACAACAAGTATTGTCACAGAAAGAACATGTTACAACAGGTATTGTCACAGAAAGAACATGTTACAATACATATTGTCACAGAAAGAACATGTTACAACAGGTATTGTCACAGAAAGAACATGTTACAAGTATTGTCACAGAAAGAACGTGTTACAACAGGTATTGTCAGATAAAGAACATGTTACAACAGGCATTGTCACAGAAAGAACATGTTACAACAGGTATTGTCATAGAAAGAACATGTTAAAAGTACTGTCACATAAAGAACATGTTACAACAAGTATTGTCACAGAACAAACATGTTACAACAGGTATTGTCACAGAAAGAACATGTTACAACAAGTATTGTCACAGAAAGAACATGTTACAACAGGTATTGTCACAGAAAGAACATGTTACAACAAGTATTGTCACAGAAAGAACATGTTACAACAAGTATTGTCACAGAAAGAACATGTTACAACAAGTATTGTCACAGAACGAACATGTTACAACAGGTATTGTCACAGAAAGAACATGTTACAACAAGTATTGTCACAGAAAGAACATGTTACAACAAGTATTGTCACAGAAAGAACATGTTACAACAAGTATTGTCACAGAACGAACATGTTACAACAGGTATTGTCACAGAAAGAACATGTTACAACAGGTATTGTCACAGAAAGAACATGTTACAACAAGTATTGTCATAGAAAGAACATGTTACAACAGGTATTGTCACAGAAAGAACATGTTACAACAGGTATTGTCACAGAAATAACATGTTACAACAGGTATTGTCACAGAAAGAACATGTTACAACAGGTATTGTCACAGAAAGAACATGTTACAACAAGTATTGTCACAGAAAGAACATGTTACAACAGGTATTGTCACAGAAAGAACATGCTACAAGAAGTATTGTCATAGAGAGAACATGTTACAACAAGTATTGTCACAGAAAGAAGATACCACATCAGATTTTGTCACATAAAGATAAGGTGCATTAGCACAATTCGATCTTTGCTGCCATTTTTGTGGTTAATACCATACATTAGAGAGACTGGTTCGGATTAGACAATCCTAAAGTCAGCCTGGGGCTAACTGGGTGGGGGTGGGGGGGGGGGGTGTCCCACATAACAAGCTGCATGTCTTTATTAATGACTAATTATGTGTTCGCTGAAATTGGATGTGTTGGACCACATGGTGCAGCCGAGCTGTAAACTACAACTTAATGTGTCAACCACTCCTTTAAGAGTGAAACAGAAGAAGAACAATAAAGAAAAGAAAAGTCACTTGCCAAATTCTGTGGAATGGTGTTGGTCTTGATGCATTTGGCAGTTTCCACATCCCATAATTTTACAGAGTTGTCTCGGGACCCGCTACACAATTGTGTGTTATCTGAAATACAGATATTACAAAGTGAGTTTATACTGGTAGTAAAGAGTAGTTTTTCCCTAATTTCAAGCATTTACATTATTTCATTATCAATTCGATACATTTACAGTTATTATACCATCAACTCATGTCATCATCATACATCTCCTCCTTCTACTTCTTCTTCCCTTTTTTATATCTTCCTTTTCCCTCTTTAAATCCACTTCCTTCTCCAACTCCTTCAATCTGTCATCATCTTCTTCTTCTTCTTTACATCCTCTTTTACCACTTTAGGTTTTGAGGGAGAAATAAGGTCTTGCTTTGTGCTTTTCTGGCTGCTTTTAGAATAGACATATTGTGGTGCTGTAGGTTTCTTCGATGTTATCTTCCCATCTTGTTCTTGGTCTACCTCTTGATCTACGTCCCTCTCCTCTTTTGGTGTACGCTTTGTATGGTACAGCATCATAAGGCATTCTCTCCAAGTGGGCAAACTATCTGATTTGCTGTATTTGTATATAATTTAGAATTGGCTCTGTGCGGACTTTATCTCATATGACCTCATTCCTGATTTGATCTCTTCTGGTCACTTCTATGGTCTTTCTCAGACACCTCATTTCCATGGTTACTAATTTTCTTTGATGTTTTGTTGTGAGTGACCACGTCTGGCACTGGTAGCATAGGGCGGGAATGAATATGCTTTGCATGAGATGTCTCTTTGTGCTGATTGGGATTGCCTTATGCTGTAAAAGGGACTAGCTGTCCCAATACTTGGCCTGCTTTACTGCATCGGATGTCAATCTCTTTGTCCAATTTACCATCTTCAGTGAATGTTGTTTTAAGATATTCAAACTTGGATGGTTGTTTAATATATGTATGTGCTAATGCTGTATTTAAATTCTGCTTCTGTCTTCCTATTGACATTACTTCTGTCTTTTCGATGTTGATTCTCATATTACTTGATTTACATTCCTCATTCATGGATGTAAAATGATGTTGCAAAATCAAAGTTGTACCTGCAATCAAGGCCTGGTCATCAGCAAAGAGTAATTCGTTGATGTTATTATTATTTTCGTTCCTGGGCCTGGCATCCTTACCTGTCCTGTCATCACCATCTTATATTTTCTTCTTCCTAATATACCACCCCCCCCCCCCCCCTAACTGCTGCTGATGCTTCTTCTTCTTCAGCTTGTGCGTGAGTTGTTATAAAACTACAAAGGATTTGTTCAGTAACAAGACCTTTGTCTGTATCTTACATATATTTTCAGCTAAAGACCATCTCCCCAGCAACAGACATAGATACTGATGTAAACATCCGTCCATAAACCTAAGCCAACAAAGAACATTGTGTAAGGAAGCTGGACATCAATATACTTTAATATAGTTCATTCTCTTCTACCCTGGGGTGTAGAGGTTTGCCAGACAGATCGCCAGACTTCTCTATCAACAGTTTAAGATCGACTAAGTTTTGTCTCTGTGATAACTTATAAGTAGACATCTATATACTAAGTAAATAACTGATCAACATATAGTGTTACAGCAGGAAGTAAACATACACTCAAAAGAGAATCCAGCAAAAATGTCGGCTAGACAATGTCACAAATGTTGGTTAGACAATGTCACAAATGTTGGCTAGACAATTTCACAAATGTTGGTTAGACAATGTCACAAATGTTGGTTAGACAATGTCACAAATGTTGGCTAGACAATTTCACAAATGTTGGTTAGACAATGTCACAAATAATGGCTAGACAATTTCACAAATGTTGGTTAGACAATGTCACTAATGTTGGCTAGACAATGTCACAAATGTTGGCTAGACAATTTCACGAATGAAGAGCTGAGGAGGAAAACAAAATGTTCATCACTGGCAAACATTATTAAAGGAAAAAGTAGAAATTTTGTGGGCATGTTTGTGGAAGGGCATGTGACATTTGGGCAAGGACAGATCTGATGGCAAGCAGTTGGAAAAATGAGTGGATGACTTGAGGAAACCCAGAAAAGGACTGTAGAAATGGAAATAAAGGAATGTTACATGACATGGAATACCATAGTCTGAAAAACAGCTGGTAGCAATGGAGATCACTTGTGAATGCCTTATGTGTCAACAGTGACAGGATATAGTGTTACATGTGGTGCTGAAAATAGAAAATTACATTCTCAGTTAGTTTAAGGCATACCAGAGTTCAGATGTATGGCAGTGACCACTAGTGAGTGACCTGCATATTCTTGCACCCAGTGAGGGTTTCCTGCTCGCCAAAGTTTGACTGTCTTGTCTCGGGAAGCACTGAAGACACCACTGCACCGGGAGCCATACCAGACCTGTAGCACACCCAGGGGTCACTTGTTAATATTTCTCAAAGTATCTTGAAAAAACAGTCCTTAATCCACCTCACAACTTTACAATACTGTCTTCATTATTGCTGTCAGATATACTTTCATTATTAATATAACAATTATTGCTACTATTACACTGAGAAGGTCACTGATGCTCCCATATTAGTCATTATTCCCAACACTAACATAATTTTTAAAATGCAAACACAAACAAAACAATGAACAGTCTATTGCCAGGCAAATGTCACTGTATCTCTTCAAGTGAGTACTACAGAGTTAAATAAGCATATAATAAAAGCATAAAAATAAATCCTTTTTTGGCTAAAATATAAAAAAAATGAAGAAAAAAAATCGGCATGTAATGCAAGCATAAAAATGAATTTTGTTGTTGCTGAAGTAATAATTTAAAAAAAAAACATTCTCAAGTTAGGCTGTACAAGATTAGTCACATGATTAAAATCACCACATCTAAATTACAGGGACTCACATGAATTTACTGTCAGGACATGAGGTATGAACAAGCAAATGTTTGGTTACAACAACAGGAACACTCATACTGGAAAAGCAAACATTCTGAATACCATTCATCAATGAATACCATTAGAAGACACAATGCTAGATGAAATAGCGTGCGAGGCTGTGTGAATCTGGAATTAATTATGGCAAGAAAAACATATGTGGTTCATGTATGGTTCCCTTACAGGGGTAATCCAAGTTTGGGAACTGATGCTGTGTCTGCAGGCTTGAAATGTGTGGGTTGAAATTAGCATCAAATCGGATCTGTTTCAAAAAAGAAAAGAAAAGACATTGGTTGATCCAGCCTAAAGCTGGTACCAGATGGGGGTCATGGGAAGTAAAGATGGCCAGCGTGATGTTGACAACATCACTCACCGAGAGCCAAATGGTCTATACAAAAATGGCTCTAACATCATATGCCCGTGAAAATGGTAACTGTTATGTTTGCTTATGTTTATAGGGATAAGTTTTTTTGTAAATTTTTTAGCGATACTTTGGTTATATTACTGGCACAGTCAGCATCCACATCTGATACAGACAGCACATATGTGACATCTATGGCATGGTACACTACGATATGAAACAGCTTGTCTGACACCAACCCTGTTTAACCACCTCTCACGTACTAGACTACAGGGTTTTTATTCTCTGGTTCCTACGTTATGATGATTATATGCACATTCCTACACAACGGTTACTAAAGATTTATGGTTTATATTTTATGTTTCCAGGGCTTTTGTATGAGGGAAAAAAAGGTGCCGGTATTCACCTCAGAGTGTCTAAAATAGGTGCTGGTACTTACTAAAAAGTGCCTTTTACAATAGCATTGAAAAAATATTGCCTTAAAGAAGTGCTGGTACTGTACACAACTGAGTACAATCAGAGAGAATGGCCCTGTATGTATCAGACACTCCCAGTGTGGGTTTAAGGGCCCACATTTAGGGGGGGGGGGAAAGAACAGACCCACTGGCCCCTAAACAAACATTTCACACAAGGCGATTAACTAGAAGTGTTTCCTTCAGAGTCGCAGTGCAGCTGCCTGAATGGCGAGGAACCAACAGTCCGCACACAAATAAGCCATATCTGTAAAACACATGTTTTCCACCACAGTTTACAGCCAGTGAATGCAAAGAAGGAGGAGAAGTATTGAACACAGTGAAACATATACAACATCACTCGTAAAATATATACAGGAGGAACCAAGAAAGGAGAAATAGCGAATGATGACTATTAAAATACCTTAGTGATGGAATCTGTGTGACCTGTCCAACGTTCCAACTGCTTTCTCGTGATGTAGTCATACAATACAATACTCTGTGAATACATAATGGTAGTGACCGTATAGATGACACAGCCACAGTAAAAGCAATCAATAATACATTCTAGCTACCAGGTGTATTACAAGATGCATATTATTTATGTTAAATAGTTTTTGCCAGCAATATCAGAATGAAGGTTGGCATCACACAATTAATGTCCCTTCCCAGGGAAACATCATCATCATGTGCTCTGTTGATGAGCGAGGGGGATCATTTGAGGTTATGAGGAGACATGGGACTCAGACCATGGCAACGGTAAGGGAGACATGGGACTCAGACCATTGCAACGGTAAGGGAGACATGGGACTCAGACCATGGCAACGGTAAGGGAGACATGGGACTCAGACCATTGCAACGGTGAGGGAGACATGGGACTCAGACCATTGCAACGGTGAGGGAGACATGGGACTCAGACCATGGCAACGGTAAGGGAGACATGGGACTCAGACCATTGCAACGGTAAGGGAGACATGGGACTCAGACCATTGCAACGGTAAGGGAGACATGGGACTCAGACCATTGCAACGGTGAGGGAGACATGGGACTCAGACCATGGCAACGGTAAGGGAGACATGGGACTCAGACCATGGCAATGGTAAGGGAGACATGGGACTCAGACCATTGCAACGGTAAGGGAGACATGGGACTCAGACCATTGCAACGGTGAGGGAGACATGGGACTCAGACCATGGCAATGGTAAGGGAGACATGGGACTCAGACCATGGCAACGGTAAGGGAGACATGGGACTCAGACCATGGCAATGGTAAGGGAGACATGGGACTCAGACCATGGCAATGGTAAGGGAGACATGGGACTCAGAGCCCATGGCAACAGTGAGGGAGACATGGGACTCAGCCCATGGCAACAGTGAGGGAGACATGGGACTCAGCCCATGGCAACAGTGAGGGAGACATGGGACTCAGCCCATGGCAACAGTGAGGGAGACATGGGACTCAGCCCATGGCAACGGTAAGGGAGACATGGGACTTAGAGCCCATGGCAACAGTGAGGGAGGCATGGGACTCAGCCCATGGCAACGGTGAGGGAGACATGGGACTCAGACCATGGCAATGGTAAGGGAGACATGGGACTCAGACCATGGCAACGGTAAGGGAGACATGGGACTCAGACCATGGCAATGGTAAGGGAGACATGGGACTCAGACCATGGCAATGGTAAGGGAGACATGGGACTCAGAGCCCATGGCAACAGTGAGGGAGACATGGGACTCAGCCCATGGCAACAGTGAGGGAGACATGGGACTCAGCCCATGGCAACAGTGAGGGAGACATGGGACTCAGCCCATGGCAACAGTGAGGGAGACATGGGACTCAGCCCATGGCAACGGTAAGGGAGACATGGGACTCAGAGCCCATGGCAACAGCGAGGGAGGCATGGGACTCAGCCCATGGCAATGGTGAGTGTGACTAGCAAGACCTGCCAGCATTGAGAAAAGTCTTCCACAATTATAGCATGAGATTTCATGGCCGCTGTTGCCACCATTTATATTTAGTGTGTTTCTTCTCAAAAGCTCAGCTCTCATCCTGTCTGCAGTCACATTTTTGTGTGTGGCCTTCATTCTCATTCCCTTCCTGATGTGCCCCTCCATACAATAAAATCCATGAAATTTCGCTCCCATGAATAAATCTACGATTACAGGCTCAGAAACAACCATCCTAGTTTTGAGCTCCCCGTGTAGTTTCTAGGGAAGAAAAATGTATAGACTCACTGTCCCCTAACAAGCATGTCATAAAAGGCTACTAATTAGGAGTGTGTTCTTCAAAGGAGTACATCTGTCTGCATCATGCCAGCCACCGTTACTTCCCAGCACTTACGTGGTGCCTATTTATGGCTGGGTCAACTTGGGAGCCGAGGTTATTTCTGAAAGAGTCTGGTTGCATCAGGACCCAAACCCGTGACCTTCTGATTCGCAGGTGAGAGTCTCGCCGCTAGACCACGATGACCCCCACGTGTACCTGTACTTAACGACTTGATTTAAAATTTCCTTACATTTTTTTCCTTCCTTGAAATATTACCTCCATTTATACAAGAAAAAATAGTGCTTTATTAATATGCTACCCCAAAAATTGGGAACCTCACAGGTCACGGGACAGTCTAATATGTCAGGGGGTGTTAGATAGGCTGCATGCATTCGTGAGACCTAGGCTGCACTCTCTTGTGGGACGTAGGTGGGTTAGGGCCAATCCTAGATGTTTTTAGGTCGTTCAAAGCATCAGAAGGCCGGGAAACCGAGTCTTATCACCCTTTAAAATGTTGGACTGTCCTGTGACATCATCTGGGGTAAGATATTATTAAAGCCCTCAGAAAGTTATTATGAAAGAATGTCTACCTGATCCTTACTGCCAGACAGGCAAAGACCGGGTCGTACAGCTGCGACACTTGCAACAGCATCATTATGTTGAAGCGCACCTCCATTAACCCTTGAGTCTCCAAATTCGCCATCCCCATTGAGTGTTCCTTTGACTTCTGTCTTTACTGATCTTGCAGACCTAAAAGACATAAAGGTCAGATGTCAAATGTCAGCTCTTGACATTTGTGGAGTGTTGTGATTTTGTTAAGAAGGTATGGATATCAAATTTATTATTAATAATCTGTTACAAGGATAATCATCATCATTAACTCTTTAAGGCCCAAACAATGGTGTGAGCGTAGTTTGAGAAGTTCCGTTCTGCCCAAACAACGGTGTGAGCGTAGTTTGAGAAGTTCTGTTCTGCCCAAACAACGGTGTTATCGTCACTTGCGTATCTCTTACATTTTGCGTTCGTACTAGTTTCTAATGTTTGGAGGTACAAATAACCTATTCAGGGAAAGTCACTCTGCCGAAATCCTTTTAGTTTCATTTCTTGGACTAAACCACACATGGATAATTTGAGAGGAAAAAATCATCAAAATTTTTTTAGCAGTTCATTTTCTAAATTCGTTTTTGAGTGCACTGATTACCAATGTTCTAACCACAAGAACAGGTTGCAAAATGCGTCTTTCTGCGGCCGAAGCTCTGAAATTGTTTCAGTCAGATGTTTTTAATTGTGATAATGATAATAAAAATTTAGATTTTTCGGAAGGTGATTCGGACAGTGAATTTTCACCAGTGAAGCTCAGCGATCAGCTGTTCGGAATCTAGCGATTCTGACGAGTTTGTTTCACAGACAATGTTCCATAGTACCGTATTTATAGTGTAAGAGAAGGAAAGTGCTCTAAACAAAGAGATAGTACTATACTATGGCTAAGCTACATTGAAATCATCGCAGCTACAGTCTGTAAATAGCTGTACAAAGTGAAAGTAAATGGTGTGTGTGTTATGGCTCTTTTTTCTTCCATTTTTCTCTGAAATTTTGCTTAGCACTCGGTGGGAACTAAGAGCTCCTGAGTGATAAACTAACACAGAAAGTTATCATAACTTTAGAATATGTTAGAAAATTGAACAAACTTCGAAGTTTTGTTCTCAAATTTGGATATTTACTATTCTTGTGGCTGCAAAACCATGGTAAGTGAAGAATTTTTTTGTGAAATGTTGTCCTTGTGAAATTAACACCTGCTGAATTCTTCTTTTCCATTAACTATAAAAAAATCAAACAAACACTTATCATCAAATTCAGAATGTACATTCATTTCTCTTTTAAAAAATATATAGGGATAAGAAGTATATTACAATCTCTACAGCCTTTCTTGTACACCCACCCCTGTGCCATTTTTGTAAAGGGAAATTAATGTGGGCCAAGTCTGTCAAAATTCATGGGCCTGAAAGAGTTAATTTCCACTTCTGCCATTAAGTGTCATAGGGAGGAACAGTTTGCGATCCACTGCTTGCTGGGCAGCAATGGCTACTGACATTCTGTTTCGATGTAGAAGCTCTTTAATGTCATCAATCCATCTTCTCCTAGGGGGACCTCTTGTTTTCACTTCAGATGTTTTCATGTGTACCATCTGCGTGGTAGTTGTTCTGGCTGCATTTTTACTAGACGATCAAAACATTTGAGTTACAAGGATCAAAATATTGAAAAGGAAGTATTACTTTTAAAAGTGTCCAGTGTCAGCCATCTTAAAAAATGTCAGCCATCTTCAAATTTTCGCTTAATTAAAAAAAAGAGGAAGTGAAGTGACCAAAGTCTCCATACAATGTTTATGAATAAGTAATCCCTATCAACCTATGCAAGCACTGGCATACGGGACACATGATGCCAGGCTCACATTTGTATAGACCAACTGGCACTAAATGGTCGATGTATTCAACATCCTGCCTGATAAATCCAGCTCGGATTTTTTTAAAGCATATTCATCGAGTCACTAAGAATGCATACAGGTGTGAACTTTTGAGTGCTAGGCCATGCTAATGCCGTTGTTACAGACATAGTTTCCATTGTAAGGCTACTAGTTGTAACAGCAAAGGCGCCATTCATCTTCTTGATGGTTTTCCCCCTTAAGCTTACTGTGAAGGCCCATGCGCTTCGATTGCCCCTAATTACTGACCCATCTGTGTAAACTACAGCATCACCGTCATCTGTGTTTTCGTCAATCAGTGTTCTGACTAAAGTGTCAACAATGCCAGGAATCTGCTCTCTACATCTTCCACAAAATCTGATATGGACTGTAATATAAATGTTTGAAGAGGGAGGCATAATTATCCATTCACTTCCAAAATTAATGTCAGTAAGGCGGCAAACATGTTCGATGGCATCCTCAGCCCGACCCATCCAGGATTTGCCTCGTTTGAGTCTACTCTTTTTTTTTTTTGCTTGAATAATTCCTCATAATGTGAGTGTCGATTGTCTGACTGAAATTGAAGGAAAGCAACAGCCTTGGATAGATTGATTCTGTTTTCCATTGTAGGAAAATCCAAGAGGTATCGCATGGATTTACAGGAGGTGTCTCTAGTACATCCCAGAATAATACGCATTGCCTCGTTTTCAAATTTTTCCCAGTCTGTTCGTCTGTGTGGTGCTGATTATGATGATGGCCAAGGCATATTCAATGGTGGAGAGAACTCATGCACGATACAACATTACAAGTAGCCGTTGCTCATTTTGCAGCTTCCATAACTTTTATTGTGAAGAGATCTTTCTTGGCTTTGGTTATAATGTAGTCTACGTGTTTTTTAAATGCTTAGCATCTGTCAAATGTTATTCCCAGGTATTCCATGGAATCAGATCTCTCCACGGGCAGCACACAGAGTTTTTACATCGGCCTTGGAGAATAATTTTTCCCCCCTAGGTTTTTGCTCCAGGATATTGCATCAATTCTGTTGTAGATCCGAAACAATGTACTCGTTCCTGCCCTGTCGGGGAACGAGGATGTCTGCAATGTACAGGGGTTTAGGACTTTTTTTTAACTTTATCCACACAAAAATTTACCTCATTTTTTTGGTTAGTTTTTGTTTTTTTTCTAAGTTTAAAAAAAACCTGCTCCATAAGCTAGCAAACAGAATGTTTTAATTGTAAATGTTGAGATTTCATTTTATTCATAAAAATTCTGTTTGTTATTCAATTACTACACAATAAAATTGCTTTAAAAGGTTTTTAAAAGCTTTATTTTTTATATTTTGTTGAAAAACCCAAGAATCCTTTTTGAAGGCTTCATATCTTGGACTGAAACCAAAAAACTCCGTATTCAAAGGACTAAGTTTAGGGGTTTTAATTTATATATAACATTCATCGATATTTAAGGGGACACATTTGTCTTTTTTTACATGTGTAATTAAATATAAGACTATTGCAATTTGATTGTTTCAAAGGGAAGGTTCACCAACCCGGGACCCTGTTCGCTTGCTCAAAAAATTGCCCCCTTTGTGGGGGTAACAAACTCCCCCCACAAAACCAATATCCGCACGCCTTGCAAACCCCCCAGAAAATTCTCATGGATTTTTAAAATTTAATTTTGTCCGTGAAGAGTAAACTGGAGGAATCAGTGGGTTTTGACTGTTTGGGTTTCCACTCCTTCCCTCCTTCAAATCCGTTTTTTTCTTTCGTCTGGGCTTTTTACAAGTTTTCAATATGTTTTTTGCAAAATAGTGCCCAAAATCGATAGCTGCTTTTTTTTTATTCGGGGACTGCCTTTTGTCCAAAATTTACGACAAAAAAAGCACAAAGTAGTTTATAAACGGGACATTACCTTTTTTGCTCTACCGCAGCCGTCGTATGTCAATAGTGGCTGACCCAAAACTTCCGGTTTATGTTGTGCTTTATAAAAATTAT